ATTTAATATTCAGTTACATACCAAAGGCTGCTTAGTTCGGCTTAATCAGCGGTTCATGTGTCAGTAGCCTCTCTGCTGACACTAGTGACTTCACGTTACAAAGTATTTATTTCTATATTTAACTTCTCGAGTTCCCAGCAGTTTCTAGGCAATGCGTTCGTCCCTCGGGTAAGCCGTATAAGAATCTTTTGATTCAGGAAATCAGCTTTGAAACCGATGAGGACTCGGACAGAGTCGCGGGTTAAGAGTCGAAAATAAAAACCTGAAGTGCAGGCCCCGATGGCCAGGCTTTATAGCCTAAAAGCTAAAAGTCAGCAGTCTATTTTCCTTTAATGATTTCGACATGTCCTGGTCTTCGTATGTATCTCGAAATACCTTAATTACGTCGAAACGCTTAGTCGTCATTTCGACATACTCTGCATTTCGAGCGCATCTCAGACCAATGACCTGAAGTGTCGAAATGATTAGTCGCCACATTTCGATACTCGCTGACTGTTACGTATACGCATATACTTAATAATACGCAAATAACGTATGTTACGTTACGCTACGTTCGCGTGTTGCGAAAGCGACAAATGACAAGGGATCTAGCCCTTTCACAGGGCTATAACAAATGTAGTCCTGCTGCTTGTATCTCATCTTCTAGCAACGAGAAACATTGATAGAAAATCGCAGGAATAATACCAAACGAATTTAATTCACATTGTTTGATAATATGATATAACACTTGTCTGATTCAGCAAACAGTTTAAGGCAGTGATTCTCAACCACTGTACCACGGAACTTTAGTGTGCCGCCGCCGCCACTGTCAGGTAGTGCACCCTCCCGAAGTGAAAATTATTTATATTTTTTATATTTCTTTATCAATTGACATTATATTCAGTCCAAATATTTATTTGATCATTTGAACTGAAGAGCTAGTAACATTTTACAGGGCGCAAAATGTGCTGTGGTAATTTATTTTTCCGAATAACCAAATAAAATTCTTTTAATTTATCTTATAATCATATCATCAAGGGACGCGCGGTAGCGTCCTGAAGGCAAGTTTGAGCCTGAAGATGGCAGCTTGTCGTCGGGTATATACCGAGTCTCTTATATACACGTAAATTCGTGTTCGATTTTTTTCTTTTATGAATTACGATTAAGGGTATACAGGAGCGACGGGCCAACTCCGAATTGATCTTGGAGGCCTCGTGCGGAGAAACTAAGAAACTGCGAGTAAAGGACAGACTGATCCTTGTCTCTCCTGTATTGCTCTCTCTGAA